CGAGGACAGGGCCGCGTCCCTCGGTGCTCAGCCGCTGGGGTTGTTACAGCACGCTCGACGCCTGCGCTAATTCCCAGCACCAGATCCTCCACCCCCCGAAATCCGGCTGTAACCGTAGCGTTTGTGCAAAGAGGCAAATCCTTCCCGGCATGCTTCGGCGGCTCCTCTGCGGAGCACTGCTCCAGCCTGGCCCCCGTCGCCCTCCGAAAGGGACGCGGGGCAAGCAAGTTTTCCACCCTGACAGCAGGTACGCTGCTGCGCTCAGTTCTGCTTTTGCCGTCAGCCAAGAGCTGTCCCGTTCTCCGCGTTTCTCTAAGGAAACCGTTCCACGCCAGGACAAGGAAGATATATGCCGATTCTGCCGCCCGTCCCCTCTTTGCGCGCGCTCCAACGTGTCCGTATACGGATTTGCCCTAAGTCCGCACGTGCACCATATGCCAAAGCGTAACTGTAGACGCTTCCTGCCTGGTGCCGCGTTTCCAGGGCCCAAGGCAGGCAAAGGTGCTTCCAAGCTTTGTGCTGAGCACATATAACGATTTCAGGAGTTCACCGCTGCCAGTAGGGATTGCCTACGGCGTAAGACGCAGCAAGATGCAACAGTGAGTTTGTTTTCCTTTTCACTTGCATTTCGGCTTTTTCCCCCACAGACCTCCATCTTCCCCGGCCGAAAGATGGGCCAAACAACTTCACTCAAAGCGCCAAGCAGCAGATCGGCAAAAGCCAGTTTAAACGGAGGATCACCGACCCTTCGGAGGAGAAAGACATGTCTTTATTTAACTGAAAATGAGTGCTAGACAGTAATGAAACTTCAGACAAAAATCTGTCGAGTATAAAAGAAACCGGTTTAGTCTACGTTCATAACCTTATGATATGCACATGTCAAACACTTCCACGCTACAACAACCGAAAACAGCTTCATGATTTCTTACTGTTACAGCACAGCGGAGCCCTGCAGTAAGAAGATTCCGCTTTCCCGACCGACAGCCCGGCGCGCTCGGCCCGCCGCTGCAGACCGCTGCTGGGAAGCCAGAGGACGCGCTCACGGGGCCCGTGCCACAGGCTCGCCGCTCCGGGGACCAGAGGCCGGTAACCACGTTCAAACACCTACAACTGTGAGGCAACAGCCAACAGATGTGCTCGCGGGTGCTCTTTTCCAACTAAAAATCCCTGTGAAGTAAAGAAGCTTGATTGCACAAGTCAGTCCCAACAGCACCCTCTTCACCATCAGCCAGTGTGACACAGCACAACCATCCTATAGATGAGTTAAGCCCAAATCTATGTTTATTGAGGACTTCTAATATCATGATACTTTGTTCAGTAATTTGCGAAATATCTAAATACCGTTAAATATATTTTTAAAAAACCCTAAACAGACTCTGGACTAAACAAGATGAGTGTTAAACTAAAAAGTTAGAAGGGACGCTGCTTACATTAACACTTTCTTTAAAAAATATAATTGCTTCTTTGTTTTGTTTTGTTCTCCTTTGAGTCAATTAACCACAGTGGTGAGACGTGCTCTCTTTCTCAGCTGTTACAGTGCAGTGTGCAGAGTTTTACTTCCCAGATCACACCAGCCCCGTTGTAACCGAAAGCCACGGTTTCCATAGGAAACCGTGGCAACTGAAAGGGACAACTTGCACCCAGGTGCAGAATTGTGCTGTCTCCCAGTCATGTGGAAAAGAGTTGTGTCACCACTGTGCAATGGAGTAGCTGAAAACCAGGAGTCTCTTGGTCAATGCCAGTATGCGGTTGGAAAGCCTTCCACGTTCTAATAGAAAAGTCCATAGGAAGCTGCGAACAGGATCAGTCCAGAGGAGTAAAACTCTTAGGTCTGTCCCAGTATCAGTCAATATACTGCGATAGCCAACGAAAACCTTCGCCATAGCCTTGCCTCTTCAGCACGCTGCACATGAACACCTCCATGGGACGCGTGTTCAGGTCTTTCAGTGGCACGTTTCCCTAGAAAAAGCCAAAGGGAAGTCAGGATGGCAAGAAACCAAGCGCCAGGGCCAGGCCTGCGCGAAGAGACCCTCTGGCTGCTCTCAAGTGAGAGTCACGATCTAGGGAAACCCCTCCTGGCCCAGGGTATCTCCTTTTGCCGCCTTACACAGACCCGTCGGTAAGGCCGTTTGCGTGCTGCTGAGCTCCGTAACGTACCAGAGCAGCTGCTGAGATGACTTTCAGAGCAAGCAGAACACTGATCTCTAGTGGCTTGGGAGAAGGAGCATCAGAAGCACTTAAACAAGCCATTTGCTGGACACCTAATTTGATGTAGTAAGAGCAGAAACCAGCATTTGCAATATTTACAGAGTAACACTAGAAGCAATTTTCAAGGGCGTGGATAAGCTAGCGTCAAGAGCAGCGTTGCAGCGTTTTACTACCGCTATCCAGCGTTTTCGATCAATTCTTTTTAAACATTGACAAAGTGATTAGACAGTCAACTGGACAGAAACGCAGAGTAATGAAAGCAGGAGAGCCAGAGGATGTGTTAACATACCAGCTTGACATCTACCTCATCTCCTAATCATTGCAGAGGTATTGCTTTTCTGTGCAATTCTGGCGGTTTCAAAACTTGCCCGGGGGTGTTATTATTATTAAAGATTCAGCTTGGTCAATATTTTGGACAAATTCACAGTAACATGTCAAGCAGTTTCCAGATGGAACCTCTATTCTGCAATTAAACACACAAGCTCTCCGTTACTTTCACAAGATCGAATGCTTCCCTACCTTTCCTGTGGTCTGTCCGTAAAGCCCAAAGATCTCCCGCAGCTTCTCCTCACTGATGGCCTCTGGTCTGTCAATTTTGTTACCCAAGATAAGGATTGGCACATTGGATATTGTTTCGTCTGTCATTAGCGCCTGCGTGCAAGACAGACAAGTTAAGCAGAGGCAAAACAAACGTTCATCGCGTGAAGAAACTTTCTGCTTCTTTCTTTAAGCGCCATGAAAAACAAGGGTTATCTTTTGGGGCTTCAGTACCCCCCAGAAGAGGAATCTTTCCAGAAAAGTTTTGTTAGAAGAAGCCGCTAAGTGCACAGGCTATGAGAAGACTCTTCAAAGACGGCTCAAGAGCCTACGGTGGATGCACAGTAAGGACGTCTAGGCTCCTCCAAGTCTCTTATAGATCCACACTGATTCTGTCACAGCATAAAAGTAACGTGCAAATTCCTATGAGTACACACTTCGGACACCGCATCGCTGGCATAAAGGGTGCATTGGAAGTGCCAGGCTGAAGCAGGAGACTCTCTCAGAGCCCACTGCTCCAGCCCCAAAAAGGGGAGCGCTATTTATACTTTAGCTATTCAAAGGGGTTGGGCGGGGGGGGGAGGAGGGAAGGAAAAGGCAAGTTTACATTAAGCTCAACTTTGGATTCCATAAGACGCGAGTGATCCGCACAGTCCACCAGGAAGACAATCCCGTTAATTGCCGGCAGGTAGTTCTTCCAGACCCGGCGAGCTGGAACACAGAAGCGATAAACCACCACCCTGTAAAAACGCTACCTGAAGGAACAGGAAAACCACACCCAGAATCAACAGCCACAGTTTTTGCCATGATTTCTTCAAGGCAACAGAAGACCTTCTAGTGAAGGGACAGAGGCTAGGAAACCACGGAGTTCAGAGCGCCAGTTATGCTCCCTCGGCTTTCACAAGCAAGGTGCACCTAGCACTTGCTCACGAATCCTCATTTGTCAGTGAGCTATGCCACATGCCCAAGTACCCAGTTAGCTCACCTATGTACTGTTTATGAGTCTTATTTTTTCCCTGTTCTAGCTCTTAGAGCAACCCCCCGTCACAATCCCGTTTGCCAGTCTTCTGCCTAGTTTGCTGGCTACACAAAAGGAGGACGACACGTTCGTGTTCCCTGAGCTGAGCACTGTGTCAGATATACCTGGAAGATTTTTAGTCAGCTTTACAGCAGCCAAGGGAATGCTTAGCAACCAAGGATGCCTTTTTAGCCAGGCGCGACCGCTCGGTAACCTCTCACACACCGAGCGCCGGTGAAGGAGGGAACTGCGCTATTCCCCTGAAAAATCAGTACGCGCAAGGCCACGAGACGGGTCTAGTCCAGTAACACCGGAGAGCTCTTCCTGTGCAGCGGGATAAACTAATCGCGTCTGCGCGTCGGCAGCCTTGGAAGTGCTTTTATCACAGCGAGTTGTTTTCGTGAGGAGAAAGGCACTGGCTTTGCAAGCTCATGCCAACTAACAGACCAACCAGGAAGCGTATACCTGGCTCAGCCCAACATTTAGGTACTGAAAGATTAAAAAAACGCCTTTTGCAGAGTTTGAAGAGTGCGATGGATCTGAACTGGCCTTGTTCCACATATCTCTTCCCAGAGGTTAGGGATGCCTGACGCTGTGACAGCGAGTATACAGAGACTGGTAACATATCAAAAAATATTCTTCCGTGGTACCTTAAATTAGTGTACTAGTACAATCAAAGAGAGTATAATCAAATTACAACTGGGATTAAGAAAAGCCTTTACTCTTTTTCTATGCACCGTGTTCCGAAAGGATTCCTGGCAAGGAACCTGGCTAGCTCAGGGGGAGCTGGCACCAGGATGCGCTAGAAAGCTTTTCTTTTGCATGACTAACATTTTGAGGATGACCGCTTCAAGGACTAGGATACTGAATTCGAGTGTAAGTACTACAATGCACGCAACAGGCTCAGAAGATCCTGTGCAAAAGCCGAGTCATCCAGATCTGACATTCTCTTTATTTGTGTGCGTTCAAAAAAAAAAAAAAAAAAACAGACAGGAAAAACTTTCTTAGAACTTCTAAAAAGCCTAAAAATGAAAATTCAGCAATTATTCAAAAGAATAAGCCTTCTACATTCAAGTCTTCTACGGCTAAAAATATTTCAGGCAGCACAGCATCAACTGACGGCAATTTTTTTCCAGATTGCCAGAATTAAGTGTAAATATTTAACTGCTAAAGTGATTGGTATCCTAGAGCCAGAAGGTTATTTCCGCACGTAACTCCATAAACCATTTTAGGCAACAGAAATTAGGTATTGCTAGCTCTTGTCAGTAGATTTTGCTTAAAGCGGTGGAAGGACATCATGGAAAGCAGAAGATTGACCGACCTCATTCAGCAAGTTCACTTTTACCTTGTTCATGTCCACCCAGATCAAAAGTCGTAAAAGTCATTCCAGCAATCGTCAGCTCCTCCGATGCTAAAAAATAAAAGCACAGGCTGCATTCCAGGAAACACAGATGCTATCATGGCCAGAATTTCTTGGTATATGTATATTAACATCACACACGCCTTATATAAGATACCCGTACGCTGCAGAATTCAGCCACTGACAACGACAGGGAAAAAGTAAACTTCTACCTCCTCACTCAAGCACATGCTTATTAATCTGCAACTATTACACCTCATTACTCTTCCCATTAGAAACACGCTCCCTCCGCAAAAGGGGTAAGCTCACGCGAACTGAACCACGTTAGCTCTTGGGCTCTCAGTTTCACATTCGAGAGGGAGACGCAAATTTACTTCAGCTCAGGAAACCAATGTGTGAAAGGTAACCGCATCCTCAAAGCCAGTTTTAAGGCTGTTAAAGTCCATCTCCGCAGCATAAAGCTATCATTAGGGCATCTTTCAACACCACACTCCGATACGTGACTCAGTAATTAAAGAGAAAAATTACACGGGGCACCCTGGGTTCAGTCACTGGAAGGCTTACTTGGATGTAGCGTAGGGACATGCTGACCCAGCCTGTCATCTTTGAGCATGTGCAGAAGAGTGGTTTTGCCTGCATTATCCAAGCCCAGGAACACAAGTTTTCCAGACTTTTTGTACAAACCTGGAAGAAGGTAAAGAAAAAATCCGGCAGGCTTATTTTTGCACGCAGGCAGAAATGCTTCGATACTTGCCACTTTTTAGACACAAATCCCTCTCCCAAAACGTTACCGTCATCTGTGCATAGACAGTACTTCTAGAATAGATAGAGAACACCACAGGAAAACAAAACAAAACAAAACAGAACAGACAACAACCACCAAAAAACACGTCCTGGCTTTTACCAAGGCAATGCAAGATAACACCTACAACAACTGACGTTTTCTAAAGTCATATTTCTTGGAATAACATATTCTTCTCTCTGAGGACACGCTGTGTCTATGACAGAAGCATCAGATCGAGATGCTGAACTGCCCCTGTGTTTGACACATCCTATCAGAACAGCGTGCAGGAAAATATTCTTTACTTGCAGTGGATTACAGATCAATCTGCCACCCAGAAGGAGTATTTAAATGTGAAAATGGAATACACTCGGAGAAGATAGCACGGTAAGCAGGTTTACCGAAGAAAAAGTGCAAAGCATGAAACAATACAACATATTCTTTACACAAACAGTGACTTTTTTCCAACTCTAGGTATGCATCTGCCCTAAGCGAGTTCCATCATGTTTCCACCAGGACTTTTTAAAGAAAAAAAAAAAAATCCCGAAAACTGTGAGAAGAGTCTTTTGTAGGCAAGTGACTGTTAATAAAGCCGTTCGAGTGACCGTTTCACTGCTACTGAAAGAAAAGGCTGGATTTGGATGTCAGGAATAAAGTAATCGCATCAAATTCCAGTGGTTCATTACAAAGAGAAGACACTCGGGATACCTTGACGTACCTGCAATAAGGGAGACCTCACAAAAGCCAGCCGCCTGGGGCATCTGCACGAGCATGGGATACCTCCCTCCCTTACATCCCAAGAAGCTCCCTGGACGGAGGGCACCTAGTCCTCCAGCAAGGACCGCGGTTGGATTCAAGACTTTGGCAGGAGGAGCCTTCCTACGGGCTCACCATCACCCGCAGCTCAGGAAATGACTGCTCGCAACGTGGTAAAGCAGGCAGCCAAAATACACGGGCCTCCCTAGCCTGGGCAACGGCGCCTTCGTCAGCGGCCAGCACGTTCTCCCCCGCGTGCTGGTAAGTTTGCTGGCTCGATAATGGGAAGCGACAGCTCGAGGAAAAGCAAGCTAGCCGGCCGCAGCAATGAGAAAAAAGCGTGAACTCTGGTGGAGCTGGTTAGCTTGGATACCAGGAGGAGGGCTGGAATTTACACCAGTTCCCTCCCTGACTAAGCAGCAGGTCTGCCTTTGGCAAGTCACTCGCAACAGGATGCACCGAGGCCCTCGGGCATCTCTCAGGTGCATTCGTGTTACCGGGCCGTCCACAAAGGCTCCTCCTCACCTTTTCGGAGGCCCAGGTTCGCACATCTGGGATTCCACATCTGTAAAAGCACTGTCCTCGGTGCCCACGCAGAGAGGGTGTGGGCAGCTCTGTGGCTCTTGCTTCTTTAGGCAGCTGCCTAACCACGTTATTGCTCTGCCCAGCTCTCCTAAGCTTCACCTTTCTTCACCGGTCTGGGAAGCAGACAGGCGGTTGCCCAACCAGGACTGAGAGGCCCTACCCTTAATGTTTGCAGTGAAGGGGAAGACTGAGTTATATCAGGTTACTGCACAAACCATCTGGCTGTGCACCGTGCGCGTCCCGATAAGAATTAACAATCCGCTAAGTCGTAAACGTTTCTATGACTCTGTTAGTCTTTCTTGCCAGAAACGGCTGCTGTTGGAGACAGGGGACCGGACTAGACGGGCCTTTGGCGTCAGCCCAGTGGCCCTCACGTTCTCCGGTGGGAGCCGACCAACTTGAAGATATACTAAAAGTTT